CGGCCCCAACAGCAGAGCGAGTCGGGGCGCAGCGTCGGCGAGTCGGGGCGCAGCGTCGGCGCACCCGTGGTGGCCGCTCTGGCAGGGCAAAGGACGCGCCCTTGGGCAGCCGTGTGTCCAGAGGGGACACTTCTGGCCTGGCAGGCAGAGCCTTGTTCCTCAGACGGAGAAGCCCTGACTTGCCGAAAGCCGCGCGCCAGACAACCAAGCGCGAGACGGTCTCACCGAGTCTCGCAGCACCCGGCCCGTGCGTCCTCTGGGGCTCTGCCCGGGCACCCTCTCCTGCCAGGCCCCCCATAAAGCAAGCGACATGCAAACAGCACGTGTTTGCTGTTAAAGAAGGGCGGGTGGGTGTCTCTCAGGGGCGTGTACTGGCCTGGCTGCCTGCCCTGTCTGCGGGGTGGCGCCCCATCCTGCAGCCGGAGCCTGCTCTCCAGCCCTCCACGCTTACTCCCCTAGGGGTGAGAGCCCTCAAGGCAGCCCCGCGGGGTGCTGGGCCGAGGCCCTGCCCACCAGAGACACTCCTGAAGGGAGTGCACCTGCTTGGCCCCAGAGGGCCCCCCAACCCCCCACCCCCACAGCCCCGCAGGGCTCACTGTCATTTGGGCCCAGGAAGGGAAGGTGGCACCCACCCTTCACCCCCACCCCACCCCCACCCCCACCCCCGCTGCCCAGGCAGGGCTGGGGCTTGGGCTCCCTCCCCGCGGCCCAGCTCCCCGTCCCCCAGCCGGGCCAGCCGCCCCGACCACGCACTTGAGCTCCTGGGCGATGGCGGCGATCTGCTCCACACGGTCCTGGTGCGCCGCCAGGTCACTCTCAAACGCCTCGTGCTTCCGCAGCAGCGCCCGCACCTCGGTCAGCGAGGCGGACTCGTAGTCCTTCTGCAGCAGGATCTGCTCTTTGCCTGCAAAGCCAGGGCGGGGCGAAGCCTGACGTCGCGCAAAGGCAGTAAGGTCCCGGGGACCCTTCAGGCTCCCGGACCGGGCCCGGCCCAGGGGCCAGCGTGTCCCGGGTTGCAGCTGGGAAGTGGCGGGGCTGGGCCAGGGTGCTCCGCGCCAGGCGCCAGGCCCACGCCCAGGACGCCCCTCACCGTGAGAGGCCAGTGAGAGAGCCAGAGGGCCACAGGGGAGAGGGAGCCCCTGGTCTGTCTAGTGCAGACTAGTAGGTAACAGGGAGCAAGGTGCCGCGGCACGGGCAGGTGGCAGGAGGCACAGACATCAGGTGGGCCGCGCTGACGAAGGCAGCCGCAAGCCGCGGGCAGTGGCCTCCCGCCACGGCACTTGGCGCGCGTTGTGCTGGCTGAGCCGCTGGGCCAGGGCTGCCTGAGCCGCAGTCGCGGCCGGACGGACACTGAGCCGGAGGGAAGGAAGCGGCGGGCCAGGCCCAGCGCGGGCGAGGGCGGAGGGTCTCCTCCCCGTCTAACTTTCCAAAGGGGCGGGGCTGTCGGAGGGGAAGAGAAAAGCGGGAGGGAGGACTCCAAGTGCTGCTTTCTGCACAGCACAGAGGCCGCTCGGGAGAAGCAACCTCTAGCACCCACTTGCAGACGCCCAGTACCGGCACACAGAGCAGGAGGGCGGCGCCGGCCGGCCGCGGCGGCTCACCGTAGGCCCACGTCTCGTGCGTGGAGGCCTTCTGCTTGAACTTCTCCGCCAGGTGCTCCAAGCGCTCCAGCCTGCGGATCTCGTTGAGCAGCCACTCCTCGTAGCCCTTCTCCGCCTGCTCCAGTCGCTGCCAGGCCCCCGCGATATCCTGCACGCAGCGGACAGCGCCTCAGCCGCGGCTGCCGCCCCGCGGCCCTCCAGCGGACTGGACGCTGCTGCTCTGCTCCCGCCTGCCTCAGGCTCACACGCACCTCCCCGGGCCCAGCCTGCACCTGCCTGAGTTGCATCACCAGGGCCTTCAAAAGCGATAGTTTTGTTTGAAAAAAAACGGCCGTTGTTGGCTCGTGTCAGTAGCAAGTGCCTGGTGCTCCCCCAGGTGCGGACAGAGGCCGGTGAGCCTCGGCTCTCTCAACAGAAATGAGGCCTCGCAGCGATGCGCCCACCACGACGCTTACTCGGGGCCGCGGCCTCAGTCCTGCAGGCTGTCAGCTGCCAGCCACTGTCCCGGGCACCTCGTGTGCCCCAGGTGCGACGGGCAAACACTGCCCGTCAGGAACTGGCCCGTCGCTTCATAGTTCTCAAGGAATAAAGGCAGGCCCTCCCTGGGGCGCAGGGGTTAGAGCACCGTGAAGCTAACTGCAGCCCTGCAGTGCGAGCTCGACCCCTGGCTGGGGAGGGACCCCAGGGCGCAGCAGACCCCTCCTGTCCCCCCACTGCTCCCCGCAGCAGTGGGTTTCAGTCGATCTGCCTGTTCTGCTCCCCGTTCTGCCTCTGGGGAGCCCTCTCCCCTTACACCTCTGGCCTGCACCCAAGTTGTTGTGTGCATAAATAAATACATCTCAAAGAAAGAAAGGAAGAAGGCCCGCGGGCCGGCAGCATCAAGCAGCACGTTGAGCACGGTGACCGCCAGGGCTGAGTGGTGGGGCAGGAAGAAGGCAGGTGGAAGGCGCTTGGAAAGGAGGCAGGGGTCGCCAGGGTCCAGGGACAGCCGCTGGTTCCACAGAAAGGCCCAGTGGAGGGGACGGGCAGGCCACTGGTCCCCAAGGGCGAGGGAAGAAGGGCAGGGCACGGGCTCAGGAGGCCGGGAGGGTGGCCCCAGGCCACGAGGTGCGCCACGAGCCGAATGGTGTGGGCGGGAGGGCGCGGGTGCTGGGGGTGGGGAGCGCCCTCACCCATGCCACCGGGTCTGCTCTGCCCCGCGCCCCAACGGCGGGGGAGGCCAAGCTGCCGGGCAGTGGGGGCAGCCAGGGCCGGACTGCGGGGTTACGGGGCCAGCCAGGGCTGTCTCCTCGCCAGAGGGTCGGGAAGACCAGCGGGCTCCGCGGGGGACACTCACCGACACCATCTTGCCCTCGGAGGGCATGAAGGCCGGCCGGTTGCTGATGCGCAGCTTGGTCTGCAGCGTGTTGAAGTTGATCTCCAGCTGGCACTTCTCCTGCACCTTGGGCGGCTTGTGCTTGCGCCGGTAGTCGCGGAAGTCCTCCAGCTTCTGCTGCATGGCCTTCATGGTCTTCTCCGGTGTCCGGTTCTCCAGCCAGGGGATGGTGCGGCGGATCCACTCCAAAAGCTGCCCCAGACACAAGTGGGCGCTGAGGGCACGCCCGGCTGCCCCCGGCGGAGCAGGCGCCGGCGCAGGCCGTGGACTAAGTCCACGTTCCAGGACGCAGGCGAGGGCTGTCCCCACCCAGACCGAAAGGGAGGACGTGCCGCTGGGCACTGCGGCAGGGACGCCCCGGCCACGCGTCGCGAGGCGGTCCCGTGGTGCCACAGACAGGTGGGAAACGTGAGGCCACGCCAGTCACTTCACACGAAAACGTGATGTTACGGGGACCGGACACGACAGACAGATGCTGGGGCCTGGAAATGAACAACAGCAACAGCCCGAACCTGACGTGGTGGGACGCGGGGTCAAACCTGGGAGCCCGCGCTCACTGGCCTAGGGGTTTGGGCTTCTGAGAAGTTTCCATCTGGGGACTATTCCCCGCAAAGGGTCGCGAATCCGCGCAAAGTGGACGCAAGATCCGAGTGAGCGTTCACACCAGCTTCCCAAGGAAAAGCTGCGTGACGGGGACGGACGCACTCCCCGGCACGAGGCCAGCCACGCCCGGGCCTCAGGAAGGGCCGGCCAGCGGCCACGCGCAGTGCGTGTCTGTGGCTCGGGCTGAGGGGCGCCACATGTGCAGACCCTCGCTCCAGGGTCGGGGGGGCAGGGGGAAGACCGACAGGACACCCAGCAGCTGCCCAGCTCTCTGTGTCCTGGCCCGGCCTGACGGTGGCTCGCGCGCAGGCCGTCGGGGGACGCCTGAGGCAGCAGTGTGTACGGGTCAACTCGTGCGGCGCTCCCTGGTAGATCCATCCGCGAGTGCCGGCAGGCGGAGCCCGCGCGTCGGTAAGTTACCTCAGACCTCAGCGCAGACGCTCCAGCCTCTGGCCCGTGTCGCCGTGACCGCGTGAGGCCAGAGCGGCTGTGGCCACAGCCCTAACTCAGCCCCCGGGGTTCTGGGGAGCGCCACGTCACGGCAGTGCCACGCTCCGCTTTCTGCTATGCAGGATCTCACCAAAATGCGGCTGAGGAGTCGTGCGCCAAGTCAGAGACCTCATCTCTGAGGTGGGTGGGGGAGGGGCCGCTCTGCTCCCCCAGTCTCCCCTCAGTATTTACAGGCACACACAGACCATCGCCTCTCACGACAGGTGGGCAGCGTCCCCGCCGCTGGGACCCCCGCGGAGCAGGCTCCTGAGTGTGCCGGGCACCGCGTGCAGCACCGGTGGCCAACAGCGTGGCAGTGTCACGGGGTGTCTGACCCAGGCTACTCAGCTAAGCGCGGGACCCCGCTCTGCTCCCTAAAACATGCAGAACTCTGGCTCTGGCCTGGTTAGAAAGGCCCTGGGGACCTCTGCTCTACTAGCCACCTCAGCCCAGAATCGACGCTGTGGCCCAGGGCACCGTCCTGCTTTCATCCTGTCGCAGTGAAAAACGCGAAGGAGAGAAAACACAGACGGCCACGTCCACCCTCGGGCCTCACCCTGGGGCGGCACAAAGCAGGACCGCGGGGCCCAGTTCCTTTACCTCACTCGCTAGCCTCTCATATTCTTCCATCAGCCTCTCATTCTCTTGATTCACAGCGAGAACCTTACATATCCTGTTAGCCGCTGTCTCGGCCTGTAAAACACAATAGGTAAACAGACAGCTCTGTGGACAAGGAGAGCGGACACCACACCCGAGGGGAGGGGCGGCCGGGCGCCCTTGGGCCAGGGCGGCCTGCGCCAGGATCGGCCATGGTGCGAGGAGTCACCGCACACCTGCTTTACAGTTTCACACAGATGCACACGGATAGACTGTAGAGAATAACAGGGAGACACCATTAGTCTACACACGCCTTGCTGAAGGAGACGAAGCAAAATGCAGGCACGTTAGTAACGGAGGTCTACAGGGTGAGGGAAACAGAGGCCTGCAGCCCCCCGGCACCCGGCTGTGTACTCTCCTGACTCCTCGCACCCTCAGGCGAGGGCACTGTCAAGGGCGCCAGACACTGGACCCACGGTGCAGCGAGGCCCTGGACTCCTGTCACTTGCCCTGGACGCCTGTCACTCGCCGGGACCAAGAGGCTCAGGGCTCGGCTGACCCGCTGAGGAGCCGGTGAGGCCATAAATGACTCCCTGTTGCCCTTCTGCGGGGGGAGCTGGGGCCAGGGGCCTGTGATGAGTGGAAGGAGCATGTGGCCCTGCACTCTATGGCCTCACCGCTGAGCCCGCTTAGTGCTGTGGTGGGACATGGCCATGGCATCACACTGTCCACCCCAACCTGGGCGAACAGAGACAGTGAAGAGGCCAAAAACAAGCGGGGACTTGGGAGGAGGGGCGGGCTGAAGCCATGCGGCACAGTGTCTCTCTGACTGTCCTAAAGAGCGCAAGTCTCCTTGTGTGCTAGCTCTTCAGCGCATTGAGATGGGTCTGCCCGACGCGGGTGGCCAGCTCCTGGGCAGGGCGGGACCCTCTGGGCGCCGGAGAGGAGAGAGCCCGGCGTCCAGTGCCCCCATCACCCCTTCTACGCTCAGCCACTGTGGCTCAGCTTTCATGGCACTCGATTCTCTTTTTTGCTAAAGCACAAGTGTTTCTCACAGCAGACTCGTGAAATCAAAGCACACCTCAGAGGGGAAGAGACAGAAAACACTTCAGGGACGGTCTATTGTTGCGCTGCAGGAGGCGGCCGCTGTAAGACACGCAGCGCCCGGTGGGGTTGGAGAACACACGCCCAGGCACACGCACACGCACACACACACCACGACACCCGCCGCGGGCGCGGCCGGCTCACGCGTGTGCTGTACCTGCTCCGCTCCCGCGAAAGCATGGTAGAAGCAGGAGACGTACGTCATGATAGCTCGCTCATCGGGTTTGGGGGTGTTCACAATGTCTGAAGGGGGGGAGATAACACAGAGACAAACACACGCACAGATGAAGAGCAGGAACCGGGGTGAACGAAGGGGAGAACAGCTGGTGGGTGCTGACTGGCGCTCTGTGTGTGTCCAGGGCCCACGCTCTGACCCCCAGGAGGGCAGGCGCCCTGACAGGACCCCTGTCCGCTCCTGCCCCTCGGTGAGTTCTGAAAGGGCAGCCAGGCCCCTTCCCAAGGGGAGCTGTGAGCTGGTGCCAAAGCCACCCCACTGCAGTCCGCGCCCTCGAGGCCTCGCGGCTCTCGCTGGGGGGGTCATCTGCCACTGTGCACAAGTCGCCTGCAAACATCTGGCGGGGCTCTCTCCCCGTCTCCCTGCCACCTCCTATGCCCCCTGCCCTGCTGCTGCCTGCACCGTAGACGCCGCTGGGTGTGTGAGGCTGAAACTGACTGGAGAGGGACGGATGGATCAAATCTCAGGGTCCGCTGCAATGGCCCAAGGGCCTGAGTGCGACGCCCGGCCAGGGAGTGGCCCCCGGGGTCCAGCAGACCTCCCCCGCTGTGGCCTCCCCACTGCTCCCCTCAGCAGTGTGTTTCAGTGGGTCAGACTGGTGTGCTCCCCACTCTGTCCCTGGGGAGTCCTCCCACCCACTCCTCATCTCTGGTCTATACCCCAGTGTTTCTATGCAAAATAAAATTTACTGGAGAGCATATCTCCTAAGGCCTTCTACACGTACTTACCACGCCACACAGGAAGTCACCAAGAGTGACAAAACCTCTAAAGAGAAGGGTATGCACAGCTTACGTTAGCACGCCTGCCGCTACCACCTACATTAGCTGCCGAAATAATCAGCAGGTCACCCGTGCCTGCTCTCTAGTTCAGCCCAGCTCAGTCACGGGCAGGGCGAAGCGCAAGATTCCCGCGATTCCCTACGGTGAAAAGTAGCCAGTGCTATTCGTAGAGAATGTGGGGTTGTGGAACAGCATGGAATGTTCTGGAAAACAAACACGAATGGCAGAATATCGCATGGACAGAAAAAGTAAGTTTCAAAGAAAACTAGACTAAAAAAGACAAATGACTGCAGAACCAGATGGGTCTCCTTGCTCGGAGGAAAATGGGAGGGAAAAAAGAGAAAACAATCGGGAAAAACTAGACACAGAAGGTGAAGGGTGAGCGGTGACTTCTGTTGTGCATCTCACCTTCTGTGCCCCAGCAAAAGCATGATAGTAACAGGAAACATAAGTCATTATGGCTCGCTCATCAGGTCTGGCAGTGTGTGCTAAATCTGTGTGGAGAAAAGAGGGTTAACTGTTCGGCTGTTCCCACAGCGCAGACGCCTGACGCTGGGCGCCTCAGAGAGGACCTGGCAGCGGATCCTTCCCCTCACATCTCACACACCTGCCTCACCAAAACCTCGGCTCACACCTGTCACACCCTGAGCCGTGCCTCTGGGCACCCTGGGCAGCTGTCAGTGGAAATGATGGGTTGTCGAGGAGCCCCGGCCAGCGGGATTCTACAGACGGCCACACGGCCCGGAGACCCATCACCGCACACGGACCTCCGTGTGCGGTGAGCAAGGTCCTCTGCACGTCCATAGGGAGCATAAGAACCCACAAATGTAAACCCGGTGCTCACCAGGTCTTTGGAAGAAAATCAGATGAACAACTCTGACGGCCTTCAGAAGCATGAAGGACAGTGAAGATGAGGAAGAGTTTCAGCTTTTCTGTATTTACATAGAATGAGTGGCCCCATAAACTACTCAAAAACCCCCTTAGGGGGTTCAGAAGCCAACACAGAAGACAGTAAGGTCAGTGGCAGCAGACGAGTCAGCAATGGAGAGGTGGAGACCAGCTGATGGCATCACGATAGAAGAGTGAGAGGACAGGTTAGCAAGCACCGTGGTGACGGTGAGCCCGTGTGCGAGCCCAAACCCCAAGAGTGGTCTTGGGGAGTCGCAGGGCCATGCCCCCCCACTTCCTTGGAGAAGTTAGTCTATAGATATAATAATATAGTGTGGGCACCTTCTTCTGAGGCATTAAAAAGGGAAAGTGAAGCAAAGCGATGGGAGACGAGGGTGGGCCCCAAGAGGGGGAGGCACTGAACAAGCAGGCACGCACCCCGCCAGCCACGGAAGGTGAACAGCGTGGTCGGGCCAGAGGAGGGCTCAAGGCTAAGGAAAACCCAGGAAACAGCGGCACTCAGCCAGTCCGGGAAATATCAGTGGCGACCTGGCTGTGTCTCGAGTTGCCTCAGGCAGGGATGGATGCGACGGAAGGTGAATTTCCTGTCTCACCTATCTTCTCCTCTGTGGTATCCCAGCTACTAAGTCCAGTGGGTAACCCCTAGATAGTCACCTTCCGTATGGAAAGGTCACGCGAATCCAAACCCCGCTTAGAGAGGAGAGATGAACAGAAGAGGGGCACTTCCCTGAGTTCGTGCCCTTATCTGGAAATAGTTTTGCAGATATGATCAGGCTCAGATGAGGTCAAGCTGGAGTAGGGAGAGCGCGTGTCTCTGTGACTAGCGTCCTCACAAGGAGAGACACAGACGCAGGAAGGCAGCTGGCTAAGCGCAGGTCAGAGACCAGAGAGATGCTGCCACAGGCTGTGGAACTTCTGGACACCTGGAGCTTTGAGAAGCTGGACGAGCAAAGAAGGTCCTCCAGAGTCCACGAGGGAACATGGCAGCGTGATATGATCGCCAAAGGGGAGAAAAGAGGTTGCCTGCTGACTGTCACCAGAGCCTGGCTTTTCTCAACAAGGCCAGCCGGGGAAGCATTGGGCCACTAAGGGAAAGGACGTTAGCCCCAACACAGGGCACTGTTACAGATAAACGAAAACGCAAAAACAGACGTGTTCTGTCTCTCTGCCATGCCAGCTTTGCGGGTGTGTTTTGGGTGTGTGGCGTCTGGACAGTGAGTGGGAACAAGCTACACGTGAAGTTCTCCACTACCCAAGGGACCTGTGACAGAGATCTCCTTGGCGCCTGAGTGTCGCGGCTGGGACATCCCCCACGTGGACCCTGCATGGGCCGTGAGGTCTCCTGTGAGTGGTCAGCCCGCGCTCTCACCTTCTGCATCCAACATCTTGGGAATGTCCAGATGCTTCTCTGCGATTTCCATGGCCAGGTTAATGTTTCCTACCGGGTCATCCTGCATGAGAAACAGCATCGCAGGTGTTTAGAAGTTCTTTCTTGATCAGCACTGACCATGAATGCGTCTTGTCTACCTCACTTTTCCCCTCCACACGTAACCAGTGTAGTAAAACAATCTCTTCCTTTCTCAGGCACTTGACACACAGAGCGATATCACACGTGGCACAAAACCATGCGTGCTGCAACTCGTTAAAGGTGAGAACAGGTGTAAAAGCAAATGATTGGTGGGGGGAGGGGAGTTGGGAGACACTCAGGGGAAACACCCTGGATACCTCAGAGCTTATTTTCAACTCTATTAATAACAAAATTTAAGTGATTACAATACATGATGGAACACACATTTTTCCAGATCTGGAAGGGAATCATGGGAAAATATCTGTTCCATAAGAATAAAAATAGCTTTCTTTTGACATTTAAGAAAGCCACTGATAAAACTCAGGACCCTAAGGACGGATGGCTGCAAGGGTACATAGAGACGAGCATAAACTCCCCGAAGATGAAAACTGTCACGAACAGCTGAAATGGGACGGGGAATGAAAGGGAAGTCGAAGTGAGGAGTACGTTAGTCTCAGGCCACGGTGAGGAATTTGACATAAGCGCCATTTACACACTTCAGAAACGGCAACGCTTCGCAAGAAGCACAATCATGTTAGTCTGGTTGAAACACCGAAGAGAGTGCAGGCTTCCCAGACACGCTCTCAGTGCTCGGCGCTGAGCCAGGTCAGCCGCCAGCCTCAGTAGTTACAGTTCTCTCAGGCAAAAAGCGTGTTCAATGAAGGTTGTTTCTACAGAGCACATAATCATTTCACTGAAGACAGTTAATGAGCCTTACCTGCACAGTTTATGCCAAATAGCTAAGCGCCAGTTTCTTTTTCTTTGTTCTTTATAAGAAAAATTTCAGCAGTGGGACTCCTGAGGCTTTGTGTAAACTCCCTCACTCAGCTTTCACTTGCAAGATAAAATGTGGCAATTTCTTATTCTCTTGGCCCAGCTTCTGGCCTTGGGACCTTGAGAAGATCAGAGAATCCCTCGCTACTTTCAAGGGTAGAACTGAAGTGGTAACAGCACCCACTGAGGGTGCCTCAGATCACATTTTCTGTGCACTATGAGGAGTGAACGAACATGTGGGTTTGCTCAACATGTGCGTGATAGATGATGACATGTTAGCAGACAGGCATGTGCGATACATGCTCGTGGGTGTCTAATCTAGAGCTCTATTAGGTCTTAGGTGCTTCTGTTCATTAGCAGTTTTTTATCCCTCTTAGGTGGCGAGTACCACAGGTCTCTTGGCCTTTTGCAGTAAAAACTGACCGTGGTGAATGGCTGACGGAACTCGTTCTAGCTGGCATATAGACTCTCCTTTCGCAAATGAGAAAGCTAGGTAGGAAAAAATAAACACTATCTGTCAGAAACACTGCCCCAAAGGCAGCTATTGGCACTGACTTTGAACTGACTCACAAAACTGAGCACGATGCGACTCACGGCTACTTGGGAAAGCCAGAAATCTCGGGGTGCTCCGTTCTCTTAGTCAAACTCCGCTCGAGGACTGTGGCACTGGCCTTCACAATGCAAGACAGTTCACAGGCTGTCCCCAGCGCAGTTGCGCCAGGCACTGGGTGCCAAGCAGTCGACTCTGAAGACGGCACCAAAGCCAGGACGCGTCCAGCGGTCACACACCCCACGCCGGGGAGGGCAGCATGCAATGGACCCCACAGCAAGACACAGACACACCGTGGACGGCCAGGCACGTCCCAACCGGGCAATGCGCTGGAAGCAGCACTGGGGACGGTGTCTGGGCTGTTGTTTGCTGGCCTGCAGGGTGGGGACAGGGCACGTGCTGCTTTCTGCCATCACAGATTACATTTTCAAATGACTTTGAGAGAGAGAATCTGAAGAATAGTATCTGAAGCTTAAGCACATTAAGCTGAAGCTTAAAGAGAGAGTGCAAAGTTGGATTTTCTAAACAGAGAAGAGCCAAAAAGAGATAAAAAGCCCAGCGCCTTCCCAGAGTCACTAATATCGCCATCACGTGGCAAGGACGTGACTGGGCCCTGAGGGACAGATCTGAAAGGAAAGGCCGGGAGATCTGGGAAGGCTTGGGATAGCTGCAGCTTTCTTCTTCCACAAAGTGCGTGCTGCTCTCCTGTCTACAGTCTCGGGGTGGGGGGACTCAGTCTTCGCAGGCAAGTCCACAAGTCTGCCAAAGCCACTGAGCCCGACGGGGCAGAGGGTCTCGGCCGGCTGGGCTGTGCTGGCGGCCACGGCGGTGCCCTCACGAGCTCATGCCAACTGCTCGTTCTCAGGGCAGCATGCTGGGGCGGGGCGGGGCAGGGCGGGGCGCCCAGACCTTGTTGAGCTTTGAGTAGTCAATGAGGTCGGGCCGGTGTCTGTGGATGAGCGCACAGAGGCCCAGGCCGTCCTTCCAGCTGCAGACGCAGAGAGCAGGAGTGAGTGGCCGGACGTGGCGGCTGGCGGGCTCCCGTCTGCCTGGCTCCCGACGGCAGCCCGCGCCCCTCCCGGCCCACCCGAGGCCTGGCTGCCCCTTGCATGTGCGCCCCTTTCTGGGGGTCCTGAGATCTCCCCGTGCGCCTCTGCGCCCCATGTCCACAGCCCCGGGCGCTCCCCGTCCCGCTCCCAGGCTGCCCGCTCGCCCACTGCCCGCCTAAAAGGCCAGGAAGCGCCTTCCTGCAGTTGTCACCACACAAGGGCCCCGCCGGTTGGCAGGTTCTGAATTCTTCTTTCCTTCCTAAGGCTTGCAGGGACCTGAGGGCGCGGCAGGAAGACCTGGCGCCCAGCCTGTCTCCCGCAGATGCCAGCACCAAGGCTGCCTGGGACAGTGTTGGAGTTTGCCAGGGCTGGGCCGGGCTCCCCAGAGCAGGGAGCACCAGGAGTTCTGCCCCTCAGAAGTCGGGGGAGGAGACCCCAGGGTTTCCCACACGGCTGAAGCGCTTGTGCCAGGAAGAAACGCAGGCCGAGAGGAGCCGCAGGGCGGCTGACAGCCACGAGGCAGGAGGTCCCGGCCGCGCCCTCCTTGTCGCCCCAGGCAGCACCTGTGGGCCGGGCTCCCCCACTCGGGCTGGCCTGCGGCCCACGCTCGGGAGACGCCCCAAGAACAGCTATCCACCTAGAACAGCGCCCCGACTCTGCGCGACGTATCCTAATCTTCCGTTCCTGGTGACCCCAAGTGGCTGGGCCCCTTTCTGTCCCGGGAGTGCCAGCGCCCACGGAGTGACGCTGTCACCAGCTGCCCCCTCACACAGCCACAGCATAGGGCAGAAGCAGGTGACGAAAGCACGTGCCCTCCGGGGGGCCAGTCTTGTCAGAGGTGCAGGGCAGCGGGCCAAGCACTTTCTGCACGGCCAGGGCAGACCCCGACTGGCCCTTCCTGGCCGGCCCCTCCCCATGCAGAAGCCCACACGAGGGGAGCCTCGGACATGCCGCAGGCTCGGGGACCTTCTGGCGCTGGGTGCGACTCGCTGAACAACGCAGTCCTGCCCGGCCAGCCCCGCAGACCTTCACCAGACTTTTCCCCAGAGGCCCGCGTGCGCCCACGGCCCAGACGAGTCGGGACACCCGGCCCGGCCCCCCTGGCCCGCAGCCGGGCCCCAACACCCCTCGAACAGCGCTGCCCTGATGTGGCGACAAGGCGCCCACAGCGCCGGGTGGGCCCTGACCCACAGGCCCGCGGACAGGCGGGAGACTCTGGCGCGGGGGCAGTGCCCACGCCGCCCTGTGGCCTCGGGACGCCCGGGGGGCCGCTCGCTCACCTGGTGTGGAAGTTCTGGATGTTCACGTTTCTGTAGGGCGCCGTCTTCCTCTGGCACCAGAGCAGCAGCCCTTCTTTGGCAGACGTCTCTGCAAAGACCATCAGCACAGCGTCACGGGCCGATGCCCACAGCCCAGTCTGCCGCGCCAGCCTGCCCCTCGCTCTCGGCCACCTCGGGGCGGCCGCGCGGACGCGGCTGCTGCTCTCCTCCCTCCTGGCGACCTGCTCCAGGGCCTGCCTCGGGGGACACTCGGGGCCTTATAACGGATCCTGCGGGGAGGCCTCCCTGGGCGCAGCGTCCATCTCAGCACCGCGGAGCTGGGGCCACCCCCGGCCAGGGTGGACCCCGGGGCGCGGCAGGCCCCCCATCTTCCCGCTGCCCCTCAGCAGTGTGCTCAGTCCATCCGCCTGTGCTGCTCCCCGCTCTGTCTCTGGTGAATCCTCTCACCCCCCGCACCTCTGGCCTGCATCCCAGTTCTGTGTGCATGAATAAATTAAAAAAGAAGGACCCTGCAGAAACAAGTGACGACATGAACACACGCGCAGACTGCAGGGCCTCTGGGAACACCCCCTCTTCCAACGAAAAACTGCAAATGCTTCTAGTCCACGACGTGGCCAACCTGCCACTCACCTCGTGCCTAATCTGCACGCATAAGTAGGCGGAGCTCACCGAGGTCCCCACGTGCCCCCAGATTCCCTCACCCAGTGACTGTGTAACCGCAAAGGCTCTCACTGCAGAGTCTCAGACGCGGCCACTTGAGTTTCCACCAAGTTTTCAAAAACTCAACCACGTGCCACAGCTCAAGGTTAGAGCGCTGGCTCATAGCAGAACCTCAGCCTGGGGCTGCCGGAGAAGTCAGCCTGGGCCAGCGCACCCCAGTCCTGCTTGGGCCAGAGCACCCCAGCCCTGCTTGGGCCAGAGCACCCCAGTCCTGCTTGGGCCAGAGCACCCCAGTC